TGTCGCTGGACTCCCACGTAGTCGACCGCGGTTTGCGTCCCGGACCCGGTGGCTTAAAACTCACGCCGGGCGCGTGTGCATGCGTGCCCTAGATCCCGAGAGGAGAATGGAGGAGAAAGGATTGCAGTGTGGCCATCCCTCCGGGGGTTGATTTCTCACTTTCTGTCTCTCTGTCTCTCTCTGTCTGGTGAGCGCATGCGCCCTATAGCAAAAACCTCTCAAAAAAAAAAAAAAAAAGAAAGAAAAAGAAAATAACAAGCACCCAGGGATGATCTCCAAAGACAGACTGAGTATTTGCAAACCACAGGGCTCCTGTGTCTGTCTTTGGCATTGTCATTAGTAATCAGTGCTGTCACAGAGTTGCAGCCAAAATGGTTCTTGGGGGCCGATGGGAATGAGAAGCTGACCCAGGTGGGCAGGTTCTGGGTTTGCATCCAGAACTCTTCCTGAACAGGCCAGGTGCATGCATGCCCGTGTTCTGGAGCTGAGTGATACTGGGGGTGGATCGCAGCACCAGGACCCCTCTGAGGGCGCTGTCTCTCTGCTGCTTTCTCTCTGAGTCTCTTGCTCATGTAGGAAAGAAAGAAACTTAAAAAATGCTTCTGAGGCCACAGAATTGAGGTGGGAGAAGAGCCTAATTGTATTGAGGAAATCTCCAGAGGGATGTGTTAAGTTGGAATTCAGATCAAGCCTTCCCGGATTTTGTTCAGATGTGGACAAGGCCATTCAGGGTATTTTAAAACGAAAAGAAAGAGTGGGGTTTGGAAAACATATAACTTGCCTAGAGACTGAGGTGGCGTGTGAGGAGCAGACCAGGCAGGGGATTTGCACACCTACAGAGGACTGAGACCCCCTCAGTCTGGAGGGAGGCATATCAAAGCCCGTGCATTGCATAATCAGCACACAGGTGGGTTTTTTATTGTTGTTGTTGTTTTTAGTTTTTACTGTAGGGTGCATATGTTCGTCAGAGAGAGACAGAAAGTGACAGATCCCCCCTCCACCCCCCAGGAGGGATGGCCACACCACAATCCCTTCTCCTCCAGCTCTCCTTAGGAACTTGGGCACGATGCACACATGCCCAGCATGAATCTCAAGTTGTGGGGTCTGGGGCTCCAGCTGTGAAGCTGGCTATGGGGGATCCAGAGCCTTAACTTCCATGCCACCACCTCAGAACTGGAATTTTTTTTTTTTTTTGTAACGCAGAGAGTCATGTACTTACTTTCTTTTTCAGGAATGTAACCAGTTTACGTATAAGTTTGCTGAAGAAACGAGAAAGCAGTCTTTGGGTGCAGTGACGCCTGGCTATGACTTCATGGCCCGATTGAGGTACACACACACACACAGACACACACACATATATATATATTTATAGAGAGAGAGAACATTCCTCCTCTTCAGTATATGAAGATAGAGTGTTGACAAGTCTCTGTACAAACTGTGGCAAGCTCAGCATTCTCCCTTCTAAAATATTTACCAGGCGTTCAATAATTAAAGGTGAATAATGTGGGTCGATTTTTCTTCTTTAGAAGCGGAATGGAATCGATTCTTCCTTCCAACGCGCATGAGCTGGCCCAGAATCGACTGCACGTATCCATCACCAACACCAAAACCAGAGAAAATTACTTGGTTTCCGAGTTTTCCTCCAGGGAAGACCTCATTAAGGTAACACAGCTGCAGTTCCCGTTGGAGGACGTTAGCAAGTGCTCATTTTTTTTTTTAAGGTGTATTCACTTTTTAATATTTCTTCCCTAAGAGGGATAGACGGAAAGGCTATCAACGGGGGTTTTTGCTGCCATCGGACCCCATCCTCAGCCAGCCTGGCTCACGGGCATGTATACGTGCCCAGTCTGTACAAGAAGATTCAGGGTATGAGTCTAGGACCTTCCTGTGTGGCCTCGACATCGCAGAGCCTTGTGGCAACTCTGTACCACTGAGCTGGCCAGTACCTGCCAGTTTAAATGCTTCATACAAGTAGTGAGCATGACCGCATTTTTCAGCTCCCGTGCCTCACGTCAGGCCTGAGATAGTAAGTGCTCAGAAAGTTATGTGTGTGCTGACTGGATCCACCAGTACCCCTTCAGAGGCTGCCTCGAGACTCACTGGGCTCCAGAGGCTTCCTCCTCTTGCTCAGTGGTCTCTGCTGATGTGCAGGTCTCATGTCTGTTACGGGGAGCAAGTTACTGATGCAGCAAGTTACTGATGCAGCATGGTCAAATAATTGCTCCTCAGATTTATGTAGCTAATACTCGGCAGTTTCTGTAAGACTTTGGACACGTGCTCTCATCCTGGGTCCTTCGGCAGTCCTCCTGTAAATCAGGTCAGACAGGTGTTATGACAGCCCTTTCATGCTTTTAATGAAGAAGGAATGGAGGGGAAGATTTTTACGTGCTGTATGCACCTACCCAGGGTTATCCTGCATGCCAGTGGGAGCAGTTCTGGCATCTAGGCCTCTTACTTTTCAAGCCAATGTTACGTTGTTTTCTTCCATTTTGTTTTTGATGTGTTTCTTTCCAAACACATTTGAATGCTGGTGAGTTGAGAATTCATTATCTCGGGACCAGCAGTTAGCATCATGGCTATGTCACTGGACTCCCATGTAGTCTACCGCAGTTCGCATCCTGGACCCGGTGGCTTAGAACTCATGCCGGGCGCGTGTGCGTGCGCGCCCAAGATCCCAAGAGGAGAATGGAGGAGAAGGGATTGCGGCGTGGCCATCCCCCCGGGGGGGAACTATAATCATTTCTCAAGTACCCCTACGTATTTTGTTTCAAGATGAAATAGACCCCGCCACAGTGACGAGCTGCTCAGACTCTGTCTTCCACAAACTGCTACTGTCCTATTGCAAATTTAACCAAAAGCATCTTGAGTGACATTTACAACTGTTCTCATGAAATGTCTCTTCCTTTTAAGATAAATTGCTAATCTTTCTTTACTTTCAATGCATTTGATTGATGGGAGTTGATTGATTTCATATCTTAGTAATAGTGTCTCATATTGGACACTGAAACTTAGTTCCTCTTTAAAATGTTAGTGATATAGATGAGTTAGGTTAAAACTGTTATAACAGCCATAGTGTGACCATGAAGATATATTTATATCTGGGACCAGCAGTTAGCGTAATGGCTATGTCACTGGACTCCCATGTAGTCAACCGTGGCTTGAGTTCCAGACCCGGTGGCTTAAACTCACGCTGGGTATGTATGCATATGTGCCCAAGATCCTGAGATGAAAATGGAGAAGAAGGGATTGCAGCATGGCCATCCCCCCGGGGAATGATTTCTCACTTTCTGTCTCTCTGTTTCTCTCTGTCTTTCTGGTGAGTGCATGCTCCCTATGGCAAAAACTTCTCTCCCACACAAAAAAAAAAGTTAAAAAAGATATTTATATCTATATACAATTCAAAATTTTAAAGATAATCAGTAGTATAGAAGATAATACTAGGAGTTCCATTTTCCTCTGTAACAGAGGAAGAAGAAAGAAGGAAACCCACTGACATTTCCAATAACACTTACATTGCTTGCTTTACTTTTTATAGGTAGCTGTGAACTATTCAATGTCTCCTAACTTCAGGTTTGGAAATAAGATGAATCTCTTGATGTTAACTGATAGGTTATACAATACTCAATCTGGGTGTCAACAGGTGGTGTGATGATTAAGGCACAGGATTCCCACATGACTGACCACAGTTCAAGTTCCCAAACTGGTGGTTTGAAAAATCACACAAGGTGTGTGTGTGTGTGTGTGTGTGTGTGTATGCACAGAAACCATGGTTCAAGTCTCAGACCTGCCAGCTTAAACTCACGCTGGGTGAATGTGCATGCGTGCCCAAAATCCCTAGAGAAGAATGGAGGAGAAGGGATTGCAGCACGACCATCCCCCAGGGGGGGGTGATTTCTCGCTTTCTATCTCTCTGTCTGTGTCTGTCTGGCGAGCGCACGCGCCCTATCGCAAAACCCCCCCCCCCAAAAAAAAGAATTCATTATCTCCAGGAAATGCTTCAGCTGACTGATTCCCAAGTCACAGGGTTCTAGACCATACATGGGATATTTTTCAATTGGGAAGGGGGCATTTTTCTTAGGAAAACTGGGCAACTGTTTCGTTTTCCTTTTGTGTGAATCATGTCAAGCTTCAGGTAATATGGAGAATGTATGTTTTTATAACAGTAGAAGGTCTTGGGTTGAGAGTGGTAAAAGCTTCATCTAAATTAGATGTGTATGTATATGTATGTGTATTTTTTAACTGTCATTCGGATGCTGTAATTTTATTTATTTATTCATTTTTATTTTTTATGATCATCATAACCTTCTTTATCTTACATTGGATTACATATAACTTTACAGTGTATTACATTGTTTTTTCAAAAGGGAATGCCATGCATGTCAGTCAGTACAGAGACATTAATCTCCCCACTTCAACATTCAATATCTTTTCTATGTTTTCCCCAATCATTATTTTTATTATTCTCATTTTGCTGTAATTTGCAATACTTCATGAGACGTTGAACCGACAGGTTGAATTACTTCACACCTTACTAGATGAGCATTATTTTTTTTTTTTTAATATGGTGTACCTATTATAAAAAACCCCGATGGTTTCTACTTCTTTTGTTGTGGATAACAGCTACTCAGAACATTGGAGCAATTATTTGAGTTCATGGGACAGAAGAAAAATGGTTGACAGCAGTGTGTACTGCCTGGTGAGGAGGCTATTGAAGAGTTGCTCTTCATCCTAGGTTATACAAGACACGTGCTAAATGTTTAGTAGAAGGCTTCAGGCTTTTTCACACCGGAAAGGGAGAAGGATGGATGGTTTCTTAATCATAGATGGTGACTACAAAAGCATAGGAAGTCAATGCCTGGAATGCTGATGAAGCAGGGAGCCGCCAAGAACAAGAGTGGTAAAGACTAGGAAGGAGCGAGAACAGAAGAGAATGTGAAGGTGAAATCAAATAACCCCCCTTTCAGGTCATGGCGTCATCTAGTTTACATATTCCCATGAAAGAAGAGGCCAGAGCTGGCCCCGGAGCACAGCACTTAAGCACTGCATGGAGGAAACTGGATCCCACGTGTACAGCCAGGGTTTGAGTCTTAGCCCCAGTGGCTTCAAAAATATGCCTCGCCCGTGTGTGTGTGTCCTAGATCCCGATGGGGTGGGGAATTGGAGGAAAAAGGATTGTGGCTTGATAGACCCTGGGGGGTGCTTTCTCTCTCTTCCCTGCATTCTTCCCATTGCATAGGGAAAGCGAAATAAGAAATGAGAAGGGGCAAAGGACAGGGAATGGGGAAGCCAGCAA